CCCCCTTCTCTCCCCCCCCCTTCTCTCTCTCTTCCCTCCCCCCCCCCCTCTCTCTCTCCCCTCTCTCTCCCCCCTCCACTCTCTCTCCCCCTCTCTCTTCCCTCTCTCTCTCTTCCTCTCACTTCCCTCTTTCTCTCTCTTCCCTTTTTCTCTCTCTTCCCTCTTTCTCTCTCTTCCCTCTTTCTCTCTCTCTCTCCCCTCCCCCTCTCATATTGGATGGGACTGCGTGCGCGCACACACATACACACATACACACACACACAGTATGATCACCACCTCCTCCAAGGACTGCTGATCTCCGTAGGAAATGTGGGCAGGGGGATGGTAGTAATTATACTGTGTGTGTGCAGTCCTATACGATCTATCCATGATGCATGGACGACAGGAGGGAGAGCCCAGAGAACACAACACAGCTCACCTCCACAGTTACTTCTCTCCTTGCTCCAAGCTTTCCCCTGGTCCTAGCTTTGAGTGCGGGCGGGGAAAGGAGCTCAGCGGAGAGCGGCCACTCAGGAACACCAGGGCACCCCCTCCATCCGGCCATGTCTGTCTCTTCCTTCAGCAGCAGAAAGCCGACTGGAGGGAGAAGGGGAGAAACCTCAAACCGGCTTTCAGCTGCTGGAGGGAAAGATACACAGTGCATCCTTCTGCAACTGCTCTCCCCCACCACACCGATCCTTCTGCTGTCCAGGCCACCTACAGAAGTACTGGTGGTACCCCTCTGATGGCAGCCCTGCATGGCTCTGTCCTCCGCTGCTCACCAGGTCCCCTCTTCCGGGAAGGGGGGGGGGGTTGAGGCGATGCCACACCCCTAAAAATTGCCACCCTAGGCAAATGTCTTGTTTGCCTCATGGTAGATACGCCCCTGCCGCATCATGGTAAAACATCTGTCACTGGAGGGACACACAGAAATCAACTGTTTCCTATGTGTCCCATTCACAATGCAACGCAGTGGGCCGAATCGCACTGCAATGTTGGGCTGGACTGGGAAGCACAGCAGAATACGCTGCTCAACAATGCAGTGAATGAAGGGTACATTTTGCATACTTCAGATTAAGCTTGTACAAAACAAAACAAAACAAAGGGAGCCGTGTGATGCACTGAAACGCTCACCACACTGCCCCCAAACACAGCCGGCCACACAGAGAGGCCGGAGTGGTGAATCGCTCCTGCTGCTCTGTGTTGCATTGTGAATTCACTCTTAATGTATGTGCTGAATTTTAAAAGGTATTATTAATGAGAAAATTTTATAGGCTGTCATTGCTAGCCTGTTATGGCAACGTCCTCCCAGCAGGTGATGTGGGCTCACCCAAGGCGCAAAATCTAAGTACCATCCAGTTTTCACAAGAGCACCTGATAGTGGAGATGGGTTTCATTGCATGCTGGCAGTTAGTCAAGACGCTCAGAATTGCCCTGTCAAGGGGGGAGTGGAGACTGGGCACAAAATGTTCTGCAAAAGGGTAGTGAAATCTAGGCAGAATTCCTAGACAGGCGTCAGATAAGAGAGAGGTCAGGTTCATGTAAAGGTCTTGGGCAAGCAGCAGACTAGAGAGAAGTCGGGTTCACATTGAAGTTGTGAGCAGGCGGCAGGCAAGAGAGCAGTCAGGTCAAACCAGGTCAGCAAAACACAAGCAATAAGAAGTATATTATAGCTCATATGCACAAGGCAGTGTAACTAGGCAAGAAGACACAGCACCAGCCACTTTAAAGGCTGGAGCTTTAATACCCTTTTAAACAAAGGAAGAGCCCAGCGTAGTTTCATGGAACTCTGAAAGTTGAAAAGGATTTTGCAAGTAGTATTGGGAGTACTGACAGGTAGAGATTATTATTCTTATTATTATACAGTATTTATATAGCGCCAACAGTTCGCTCAGCGCTGTACATTAAAAATGGGAGACAATACATGAGACAGTACAATAACAATACAATGCGATACACGAGGGGTTTGAGGGCCCTGCTCCGGTAGAGATGAGCTTGGGCATCCTCCGAACCCATCTCTAGTCCAAACTCCCACTTTTTTGTTTTCCAGTGGGCTGTGGTCATGGTCATCCACCTCCCCACAGCTCACAGAAGTTGTGGTGTGAGAAAAACCCAGCCTGCAGCTCACTGGAGTACAAAGAATTGGTAGTTTAAAAGAGAAGTATGGACTTAAAAAATAAAAAAAGCTTTTATATTCCCCTGCCAGCTGTGCAGTGAGAACTGAGCAATCAAACACCACTGAGTTCTTCCCCTCCGGCTCTCTGCTCTGCCCCTCCAGTGCTCACCAGAGTACTTGGCTGAGGAGGGAGCATCTGGCTCACTCTCCCAGTGGCACGCAGCTGAGAGGCTGAGCCAGGTGTCGGGCAAGACTTTTGGGTGGATCCCAACCATATGGTCAGGATCTTTTCAGAGCCTGGACCGGACCTTTGAGGTTAGCTGATAGCACTCCTGTGATCCATAGGAGAAGTATAGCCAAAAAAGGTTTACTTCTCCTTTAGGTTAGAGATGGGTTTTTGAGGACACTCAATCTCCTCTCTACTGGCAGGGATACTGCAAGTGCCATTGGAAGAACTGTCAGGGATTCTGCAAGTACCATTAGAAATATTATTAGAGATTATGGATGTCCCAGTAGAGATTCTGCGAATGTCATTGATAATCCTGGTAGGGAATCTGTGAGTACCAGTGAAAGTCCTAGCAGGGATTCTAGAAATGTCATAATGCAACCTCTCCTTTCAAAAGTGTTAGTTTTATGGCTGCCATGGTGTTGTTTTGGCTTCAATGCCATGTAAGTTGCTTGCATGGAACAAGTCAGACACAGCCACGCAACTAGCATTTTCAGAAGGAGACCCGCAGTGGTAGATCTCTATTACTCCTGTACTACATGACAGAGACATTATAAGCAGTTTTTTTTTCTTTTCGATACATTTTTATTGAAAAAATATTTTTTTAGGTATACATTGTAACCGCTGTCATTTTTACAAACAGACACTTAAAATCAATGTCTTGCAATCCAAAGCGGTTGTACATCATATACAAAAACAGTAATAAATTGCAAAGCTTGGGGTGTATCAAAATGGCACATTGACGATATTACATCAAAAGAAGAACAGCATAACTAACAGAGAAACCCTATGCCCTGATTGAGGAATCGGGCGTTGGTAAATGAGACATCAGTGTATAAAATGCACTACTCAGAAAACAAAACAAAAAAGTGCATAAGAGCAAATCATTCCTAAGGAAGAGCCTAGAAAATAAGAAGAAAGGAAAAAAGAGAGTGTAAGAGAAGTGGAGGGGGACATCAAAGGCACTCGAACCTGGGCCCCAGGTCTCAGTGTTTATAGCAGTGTGTAACTGGCTATTGACATAGTAGGATGGGCATGTTGGATCCATGAGGGTCCATATTTTAAGGAATTTCTCATGCATATCTAAAAGGATGCTGGAGAGCTTATTAATGAAAGAGAAATCCAAGCAACTGCTGACTTCTGTAAAGGGTGTGATCTGTTGTTTCCAAGCTTTTGCTATGGTTTGTTTTGCCACCAGCTATACATAAGTAGCCAGTTTAAATTGTGTTTGGTGAGGCCCGGAGGTTTCAGGTGTAATAAGATATGCCACAGGTCTTTTGGGAAGGGGCAGATTAATAATGATTGTTGGAGTTTAAGGACTTTTGTCCAGAACTAGGCGAGCATAGGGCATGTCCACCATATATGGAGGATATCTCCTGGAGTAGAGCATCCGGGGCAGAGGAATGAAGGTGTGCCAAGCAGAACTGAACCAGGTACCATCTTCTGACAGTTTTAAAGGCTAATTCAATAGTGAGAACATTAAAAGAGCAGGAAGTCAGTGCAGTCTAATTTGTGACCAGCAGCCTTTTACCTTTGGTGCATTTAAGGTCCCTTTCCCACCTGGAAACATAAGTTTGATTATTAGAGTTTTAGAGGACATTCAAATGTGAGTAGAGATTGGATATAAGTTTGGGGGAGAAAGGCGTCCAATGACCGCTATGTTCAAACAAAGACAACTGGGTCATCGGGTCTTTATTAGTGAGCACCGAGGACAACCAGTGTTTAATTTAAAAGAAAGTTCAGTGTGGGGGACCTGGTATTTATCGCTGGTTTTCGCCCAGGTGTAGGTGGAACGACCAGTGAGGAATGAGAGGACACAGTGGAGTTTGTGGGAGATTCACCAATGGAAGGCGCTAGGGGACTCGAGGCCTGGAGAAAACAGTGGATTGCCTAAAAGGGGGAGAAGTGGAAAATGGGGGGAGATCAGGCCACTGGAATATTTTGTAGAGTCTCAGACTCGTAACAGGTGTGACATTAAGGGGCTGGGTTTAGATTTTGGAGGAAGCCACAAAAGCGAATGGGGAGAGACTGGAAAGCAAGAAATCGCCTCCAAAGTGACCCATAGAGGGGCTTTCTGTGTGCTGTATATATAGAGGTCATAGATGCAATTTGAGCCGCTATATAATGCTTGGAAAAATTAGGAACCCCAAGCCCCCTTTTTTCCTGTGTATGAGCATAGTATGTTTGGAAACCTGAGGTCTCTTGTTAGTCCAAATAAATCTCAGAACATAGTTCTGAAATGATTTGAGGGCATAAGAGGGGATAGAGACAGGAAGAGTAGAAAACAGATATAAGAGCTTAGGAAGAATTGTCATTTTAACAGCATTGATTCTACCTATCCATGAAAGATGATAGTGGGACCAAGACACAAGTAGAGCCTTGATGGAGCGGAAAATAAGCAGGTTTTTTTTATTTCTGTTCAGAAGATCGATGTAGGTGCCTTCCTGTTTGAGTTTCACACATTTTTCTTTACACATTTTATATCTGCAACATCTGGGCTGAAAATGTTCCTATAAACGCTTTCCATACTACATCCTAAATTACAACTCTATGCAGAATGGCTTGCCACATATTTGTATTTTATAGTGAACTCAGCGTTTAAAATCAAGCATAGGTTAGCAGTTTTTTTGGATATGTACAGCACATCAATTTGTTATTTATCTTCACTTCTTCCCTCAGGATCTGCAAATCGAGCGAGAGAGAAGCACTTACAATATATCTGGAGGCTGTACATCTCTTGTCGTTGTCTACTTACTGGGGAAAATCTATGTATCCAATGCTGGTGACAGCAGGTAATACTTTGTTTCATATTTTATGCACTTGTCCTTACTGAGAAGTATAATCCCTGTATTGTCACCCCATCCCACTATCGTTTTGATTACTAATATTGTTAGATTTTTTTTTTGAGCTGACAATGTTGGTACATAGTTCATGAAAAGTTATTAAGGGCTTATTTACACAGGCGCAGAGACCCAGCTTGTTTATGAGCCCACACGTGCAAGCTTTTATATTCATTCAGGGACAGATGCATGGCCTTGGACGCAGGCAGACTGCCTTCATGGCTATGCATCCAGCCCTGTATGGACACTTATGCTCAGATGCTGGTAGGTTAATTGGCTCCTGTCTAAATTGGCCCTAATATGTGTATGTATGAATGTAAGTTAGGGACCTTAGATTGTACACCCCTTGAGGGTTAGGGACTGATGTGAATGTACAATATATATGTGTAAAGCGCTGCGTAAACTGACGGCGCTATATAAGTACCTGAAATAAATAAAATGTATAGGACATTCCGTGGAGCTTCTTCTGTCATTTGCTTTCACCAGGCTTCTGGCCATGGCTGCACAAAATGTCTGTATAAATAAATGCACACTCTCTGGGCCTCTGGTTTTGTGTGAATAAGCCCTAAAAGTCATATCACTACCTTAAGATAAAAGGGAATACTCTCAGATGTTTTCATTATCAAAGGTACATACTAGTTGTAGTTGAAATGTGCTTACAACCACCCTGCACGGTAGTTTTAATGCTGGCATCTGCTTTTTGAAAAAGGTTACCTTTCTTTCTTTCTAACTTCTTAGGGCCAATTCACACTATATGTGGTAACACAATTTTTACAGCATGGAAAATATCACAGGAAGACACAAAAAACATTGTTTTCTAAGTGTCCCATTCACAGCCTAGCGCAACGCAGCGGGCCAAATCGCACTGCAATGTTGGCCAGGGCAGCACAGCACATCACGCTGACCAACATTGCAGTGAATATAGCTATAAAGCTTGTACAAAACCAACAAAAATAGGAGCCTGTGATGCGCTGAATCGCATACCCGCCAGGCAATGTGCAGCTGGCAATGCAGAACGCCTGGAGCGGTGAATCGCTCTTGCCACTTTGCATTGCAGTGTGAATTGGCCCTTATGGTTGGCATATTAATTTTTTAGAGACAGGGCAGTGTTCACAGGTCTCAGCAGCCATCTATATTTGGTCTTAGGGAAACATAACATAGAATCATTTGGGTAAAAGCTGCACTTATCAAACATATATAACTTAAAACATTAAGCGATATATATAGTGTCAGTACTGCCTACTTCATTTCTGATGTATTACAAAGAAGAAAACTTCTCATCATCTCCTAATCCCTCGTCACCTCCATAACCTCTTCTCTGTGCACAGGCAGAGAGATCAGGAAGTTATCAATGCACATGATTTGCATTTATCGAACAGATATAACCAAAAGGTTTGAATTATATGTTCTTTCTCCTGAAAATGGATACTTTGTATTTCACTGTGCTGTGGCCTCATTGATTTCTATGGGAAAGCCATATTCTGAGTAACTGCTTGAGGCTGCCATGAGTATGGCTTTCTCATAAAATGTAATAGAGGTGCGGTAAGAAGCAGCAATTTTTTTAAAAGATTACTGGAATGGGACTAAAGGTAAGTATAAGACCTATTGTGCAACACTTTGGCGTGGAGGAACTACTTAAAGTGTATGTAAACCCTGACAATGAGCTTCTCTTCTTTTCTCCCTTTTAGTCTTCTAAATATACCAAGTAGGGCTGACAACACAAGCTTTGGAATTTTGAGCCATAAATACAGCTATATTTGTGGAACATTCAACAGTTATTTTTTTTCTCTACATTCAGAATGTGTTAAAGGCTAAAACACAGGAAAACGTGCATGTGTTACAGAAATTTATGAAATATGTTTTATGTCTGCCGTGACATTTCCTTTAAAGTGGTTGTAAACCCTTACATATACTGGCCTCAGTTGATACACAGAGATGAAACAAATTTTCATACTTAAGTTGTACCTGTCTATCTGCAGTCTTCTTTTCTCTGCATCCGTTCACAGTGCAGAATGTATGCAGCTTGTCTAAAAGTTCAGAAAAATGGGGCGGAAAGTTGAATTTACACTCTGCAGAGCTCAGTGAGTAGATCTCTGAGAGCTGATTGAAGGGAAGTGACACACCCCCTTTCACACAGCTCACAGGAACAGAGATGAGATTATCAATCTGCTGGAGCTCCCTCCCCTGTCACCATTTTTCTCTTGGTGTCAGGAAATCTTGTTAGAATTGATTCATGCTGATAGCAGAGGAAAAAAGCAATGGATAGAAATTACACTTAGGGCTCTTAAATGAGACAAGTACACCGTTTAGAGGGATATGTTTGTTTAGATTTCTTGTCTGAGGTTTACATTCACTTTAAAGCAAAAATTAAGCTACACTTGTTTGTCAGCCTATCAGAACACCCAGGGGCGGACTGACCATTTGGAAACTCGGGCACTGCCTGAGGGCCCAGGGTCAGTAGGGGGCCCCATGAGATGCCTCAAGTACCTTTTTCATAGGCTTTGTTGAGTTTGGGCAAGGACACAGGGGCCCCATGATCCCCTATTGCCCGGGGGCCCCATGAGTTGTCAGTCCACCCCTGAGAACACCGTACCAAAATTTTAATATATTGCAACTTATCAGTCCTTAGATATGTTGACTGCATGTATTCTTTTCAGGCTTTATTTTTGTTCTATTTTTCAGTGGTAACACTGACTCGTGGCACTATATTTATGTAAATGCAGCCTTGTCTCTCTAGGAAAGTAAGTGTATTAGGACTCCTCATGTCTATATCATGGAAGAAAGTGTTCACCTGTTCACAGAGGTAAACTGGGTTGGGTATTAAAGCGGAGTTCCACTCACTCTAAAAAAAATAAGAGTCAACAGCTACAAAAACTGTAGCTGCTGACTTTTAAAAAACAGCCACTAACCTGTCCCATGTTACCTGTTGCCCCCGCCGCAGCCCGTTTCACCTGCCGTCCTGTATTCCAGGTGCTGGCATCTTCAGTTTGGGCACCCGGCTGTGACAGCTTGCGGGTGCCCACTGCGCATGCGCATGTAGCTCTGCGCTTCCTGAATGGCCGCGTCATCTTCTGGGACCTGTCACGTGTCCCACAAGACTTCGGAGATAGAGGGTAGGAGGACAACTTCCGCTTCCGATCGCCTAGGCAATCGCAGCGGAAGTGGGAGCGGGTACCTGTCAAATTCGGGTACACTTCCCCCCCCCTTCCTGCTCCCCAAAGGTGCCAATCCTTAATGGGGAGCGGGGGACCAATCTTTAAAGTGGAACTTCCCCTTTTCGGTGGAACTCCGCTTTAACTCTCACTTGCTTTAGATAAGACTACAGAGTGCACAGAACAGCGTTGGGTTTCTTTCAGATTTAACAGGTATATTCATGTATTTATCAAACCAGTATTTGCAGTTGCCATTGTATATTTAAAATGGTTTCAAACCTCAGACATGAAATATGGCCAAAGCATATCCCTCTATCATGTGTACTTGTCTAACTCCAGAGCACTAAGTGTCATTTTTCTTTGCTGCTTTGTTCCTTTGCTATCAGCATCAGAGTCACTTCTGACAAGTTTTCCTGACACCAAAAAGTATAAGCTGACAGGGGAGGGATCCATAGCACACAGTCTGTGATTGACAGCTTCAGATCTCTTCCTGTATGCTGTGTGAAATGGGGGGAGGAGAATACTGCAGATAAACAGGTCAACTCATGTAGAAGGATTTGTTTCATCTCTGTGTATCTCCTGAGGCTAGTCACTTCACTGGGTATATGTAAGGGTTTACAACCATCCACATCATTGGTCATGCAAGTTGTAGGAATAAGTGGAAGGAATATTGTCCCATCGTTGGTGTCAGTGAGAGGAATAGCTCCCCATGTTTGTTGTCAATGGAAAGAATAGCGCTTCACCATAGTGTGAGTGGAACAAATAGTACCCCGTCATTGGTGTCAGTTGGAGGAATAGTGACCCATAGATGGTGTCAGTGGAAGAAATGGTGCCCCATTATTTGTATCAGTGGAAGGAATGGTGCTCTGCTTGCATCAGAGGAAGGATTGGTGCCCCATCGCTGATGTCAGTGGGAGGAATTTGAGGCCTCATCGTTGGTGCCAGTGAAAGGAATAGTGTCTTTTACCAGTGGAAGGAATAGTGCCCCAAAGGGCCGCAGCTTAGAGACCACTAATCTAAAGTGTTTAATTCATAGAAAACTTCCGTTTTGACAATATAGTTATGTAGCCAGATCTGGCATATACCAATTAGAAATAGGTATAAAATAGCCTGACAGCACTAAATTGAGGATGTGGTTGCTATAGGTAAATAGACTGATTATTGAATGAAATTATTAAGGGCTGGTTCACACCAGATTCAGTTCAGTGTTTTTTTTCTGCATCACAAATGCATGCACAGTGTTTTTCCATGTATTCCAATGGCCCTAGTTCACACCAGTGCAGTCAGTTCCAATCAGTTTCCGGTGCAGAAAAAAAGTAGAACGTGCTGCATTTTTTTTGTGGACAGAACTGTACTAGAACACAGCAAAACACATCAAAAACGCACTGGAACAGAGTGTGATGTGAACTGTATGTAAAAACGCATCTGGAACGTATCCGTAGTGCATTTTTGTGATGTGAACTGGCCCTTAATGTGAGCATTGTTTCTTTCATTCCATACAGAAGTTGACGTTTGGCTTCTAAAAATGGGTGTCTAATTTAGGCTTGACAGTTTTCAGTAAAGCCGGCCATGCATACTTCGAATTTCTCTCATTCAGCCCCGCAGACGAAAGGAGAGAAATTCATCGATTATCCCATCCATGCCCTGCAATGTGGATAGAGCAATGTCAGCTGCCTAAGGATTGCAACAGGACTTCTCACAGCTCAATTTTGTCTGATTTAGCAGGAATGAGCTGACATTCAAGCAGTATATGGCCAGCTTAAGGGTAACTCCTATTGCATTTTTTATTTTGGCATACAT